AACAAGATCTGTTAAAATGTATTTTCTTACTTTTAGGACAGAAGAATGTTCCCTGAGTGTACTCTTTTCTGATTCCTTCAGGCTGAAAGGTAAGCAAGGTTTTTGTGACGCTAGTTTGAGGACTGTTCAGCGTATGAAAGATGGTACGTGACTGTATTTGTCCCGGGGACTGGTATGATTACAGTTGGCTGGGTAATTTCTTGGGTAATACCCTACCCTAGTCCTTAGTCATATATGTAGACTTAAATGTAAGCGAATTAGCTTTTCTTACGGCCGATTTTTCATCAATTTTCAGTGGCGGTACTGCCTCTCCTATGTTTGAGAGTCTCCGCATCACGTAATGCGACTTTTTAGTATTATAGGTGTTTGTATAATGATAAATTTACAGTTACAACTTTTAAAAGTTGCTTTTTACGTTTTGAATTGTCTAGAATCTTTCACAAGGGCAGACAGTACCCCAAAATGGCGGATTTTGGCCTTGGCGAGAAAGTTTGATTGTAAAGTGTAATTTATCTCATTGTTAAACACCCGTGAAGACTGAAGTCAGGCAGTCGAAAGCTTGTAAAATTAATAAATATTTTGAGAGAGCGTCCGAAAACTCAGTATGAATAATCCCAGTTTCGCCTCAAACATCTTTAACATACAAACTATCTATGTACAACATCAGGTCACTCTAATACACCTTTTTGATAAGTGCGTCATGGATGTATTCTTGGTCTGGGAGCCTCATTTTCATAGCCAATCGCCTTCCGTCTTGATTTACGAAAGCGAGGCTCCCATGCCAAGAACGTGTTCATGACGTAATGATCGAAAAGGTGTATTTGATCAGACCAAAACGTCTATGAATCCCACGGGTTGTGACAGCTGACCGCATGGATAAATGAACCGTTCTGTGCACGGCTAAAAACGATCAGGTTATTGCAATATTGATGAAAACAGGATTGAACAATGTTTTGCTGCCCACATTGTTCGCAGTTGTCAACAATATTGAACAATATTGTTACACCCGATTCAGGCACAACAGTATATATCAAGTGTGAACAACGTGGGCAGCAAAACATTGTTCAATCCTGCTAAACAGCGGGTCTCGTGTGAATGTAAAGTTAAATTTGCATACCTCAACAAGTAGTTTACGTGTGACAGCATCACTGACTGTCACTGTACTGTTGGAACAAAGACGTGCTGATGACGTAGTAGCTGTGACCGTGAGGGGAATGTGTCCGAGGTTTGTAGGAATGATGGTAAACTTGACTGACTGCCCGGCATCACCGCATACGCAGAGTTTGTTGATATAATATGACGTCACTTTGTAGTCTGGCGATTTCTGGTTCAATAATAGTTTGATCTGGTGAATAAGAAAATATCAGCAAATTAAGTTTCGTATCATGCATAAATTATACAATGGACTGATTATGCATTCTATTTACTCTGACCGGCAAAGCAAAACAAACGTTTCCAAGATATGATATTTATTGACAACCTTCCCAAAAAGGCTTTTCAGTGATAATGTCACATGACAATTATAATAATCATAAACTTACCGGTACACAACTGGTCATGTAGTTAAATACAGTCACAGTGACTGGAATCTCTTCTCCTCTGATAACAGAGTAAGGTAGCGTCATCTGGACAAAGAACGGTTGAAATGCCTTGAGGGTCGAAGTGTCAGAGATACCCAAACCAGTCTTTGATGATATGGCGAATCCATTCGCCACCCAGGTTGTAATTGTATCAGGAACTCTCACTTGGAGTGTTTTATTGCCAGATTCACTAAGAAAGATAAAGGTTGAGAAGTTTAACTTCTATGGTAGTTTGTTCTTATATTACATTATTATTCACCTCATTCTCCATTGGGGCTTTTCAGTGACCGATTACATCAAGTATTATACGCTCATGTTAGTTGTTCTAGACTATCTTTACAACAATTGAGATATTACTTTCCTAACTGTGTTTATCCTAACCCACCCTGTCAACTTTCCCTGTGGGAGGAAACCGGAGCACCCGGAGAAAACCCACGACTTTCGACAGAGCGTTGACTGACTCTTTTCACATGAGTCCATAGCGAGAATCCAACCCACGATCTCAGAGGTGAAAGCCGCTTGCTTTGATGACTGAGCCATCAGCGAATTGACTTGACTGAGGGCCTGTTCGTATGGGCAAAAGTTATCCCGGTTAACGAGAGAACTTTTCGACTAGCCAAATACTTTTGTTCTGTTCATATGAAGAAATATTATCCCACTTACCGGGAAAAGTTTCCGGCTGTGACGTAGCACTGAACATCAATTGAATTGAAAAGTTGCTGACACGACAAAAAGTTATCCCGCTAAGCGGGAAAGTTGCGTTCATATGGGAAAAACATCCCGGTCACCGAGATCTCGCCTGTCAACAAACGAGATCTCGGTACACGGGAAAACTTTTCGTTTCATATGAACGCAATGCAACTTTTCATATTATTTTCGTAACAAGGCGAGATCTCGCTCATAAACTTGTCGAAAAGTTTTCTCGCTAACCGCGATAACTTCTGCCCATATGAACAGGCCCTGAGAGACATCGGAAAGACGTTCCTCGTTAATAATGTTTGATGGCATACTTACTCTAGTTTTTCGTCTGCCCAAAACCAAGTTTCAGGGAATTCTTTACGTACTCGGACTGGCTTTTCTTTCTTCTTCTTTTCTGTCTGGTCCACATTTCCACTTTTTGGCCTTGGTCCAGCATTTCTGTTTCTCCCTACACCACCTTTAATGTCAATAGAAAACAGAGAATGAATTTCCTATACACTCCCATCGCATATCTTACAGAAAAACACGGACAGTTAACATATTCTCCAAATTTGAATCGAGGTGCCGCCAAATCACAGATTTAAATCACGTACACCCTCAGAAAAATCACAAAAAAGTAAAAATAAAAAGTCAACAAAAAAATTTTAAAAATTACAAAAAAATCACATGATTTTTTTATTTCGTACACTTTTTAGAAGTGATTTACCCCTCAGTTTGAATGATAAATTTGTCGTTCAGTCATTCTTACCGTTCACGAAACTAAAATAAGCTTTATTTATATTTGATACTGGATAGCTTTATCAGTTCTAAACTGTTCTATCTAGAAATCCAATAAGGATTATCTCTCATTGATCGGTATCGGAAACCCAAGGATAGCTTTATCGGTTCTAAACTGTTCTTCCTGGAGGAGGTAAGTGTCGTCAACTATTGGCCCAGTGTCATTACGGGAGGAAACTAAACTAACTTTGTTCTATTATTTCTAAACTGTTTTCCCTAGAGGTCCAGTCAGGAAACCTAAACTAAACTAACTTTATTTATACTGGTTTTAGACTGTTCTCCCAATAGTTTTAGTAAAGACCATCCATTATTTTTTAGCGTAAACCAAAATACCCAGAGAAACAAACAGTGTTCTGCATGTTTATATATTTAGTTATGCCACTAAAAACAAAACAAGCAACCAAACAAAACAAACAAATAAGTAATATTCATACCGCGCCGTCGTGAACTCAAACGTAGAAAAAACTGTGGCTTTGGACAAGGTTTTGTATAAATATTTAAACTGGATATAAATATTACACCAGCATTCTACAAAATATACAAAATATAATATATATTACCCAGACGTGATCCGAAGCCTCCATCGCCTGCACCGCTCAACGCTTGTATGTAACGTTTTGGACAGGGTTTCGTGAAAATGGACAGATTTGATAAGAAAACCAGACCGGCTACCTACAATGAGATATTTTTGGTGAACACTGATAACTCAGTAGTTCGTGCGAAACAGGAGGAATGCGGAACCATAACACAAATTCCGTCATAAGAGCATGCATGATTCCAGCTAGAGACGAAATCCAACACCATAGCTGGAAAGAGCATCTCAAAATGAGTAAAATTGCAAAGTTTGGTTGCGAATTGTTGTAAAATGAAGAAAATATAGCCCTGTGAAATTCGCAAATTTTGTATATATTTGCATTACGCGCGGGAAAAATAACCATTTTTGAGCCGAAAGTGGTTATTTTTACCGTGCGTAATACAAATACATACAAAATTTGCGAACTTCACAGGGCTATATTTTCTTCATTTTACAACATTTAGCAACCAATCTTTGCAGTTTTACTCATTCTAAGACGCTCTTTCTAGCTGTGGTGTTGGATTTCGTTCTTCTTGCCTTGATCAAAATTCAGTCTGTAGCTGAAATAATCCATTGCTACGGTTGCTCGTCGAATTCTCCCGCTTTCACGCGGCCCAATCAGCAGCTGGTTATAGGAAAGCTGCGCGATTTTTCCAAGCTTTCTTATATTTATGTTTGTGATGTTGCTCTGAGTGTTCTCTTAAACTGCCCGTTGATTGGTATAATCCAAATGAAACTTGAACTGATAAGAATCCGGGCACGAAATCTTTACGAAATAAAAAATCGTTCTGTTTCCATAAGTAAATCTGTCTATTTTCAGGAAACCGTTTCCAGAAACCTCTTCCATTCGCGAAAATGGTTGTGCGTTGAAGATGACGGTAATATACGTGATATTTTGTATTTTGCAAAATGCCGGTGTAATAATTGCCATAGAAGTGAACAAACAAACAAACAAACAAACAAACAAACAAACAAACAAACAAACAAACAAACAAACAAACAAACAAACAAACAAACAAACAAACAAACAAACAAACAAACAAACAAACAACTGCATACCATATGGAACAAAACCAGAGCCCCCAGCCACCTCCGTTGGCCAGTATTTCTGGCACGGTTTTGTATTGATATTTAAACTGGATATGAATGAAACCCCAATATTCTGCAAAACATACAAAATATAATATATACCGTCATCGTCAACCATCATAGCCATCACTACTGGAACGGGACGAGGTCTGGGACAAGGTTTAGTGAAAATAGACAGATCTGATAAGAATATTAGTCCAGCAACCTAGAACGTGACATAGAGAGATGTCTGTATTAGAGGGTTTTGTATATTTCAGAGAGCCCTCTTTATTAGAGATGACCGGATGTATTAGAGAGGAGTTTGTATAAAAGAGATTTTGGTATTAGAGGGGTGTCCGTATAACTGCATTATAAAGTGTCTGTATTAGAGAAGTGTTCGTATTAGAGGTGTCCATAATAGAGAGATCTGTATTAAAGAGATGTCTGTATTAGAGAGATGTCCATATAAGAGAAATGTCCATATTAAAAAGGTGTCCATAACTGAGAGGTGTGCGTTTTAGAGAAATTTCCGGATTGTTCGTACTAAATCATGTACATCAAATGCACAAGACTTACATTGAAAGCGTCAGAAGCATCGTCGTAACTAGAGCTATCTCCCCAGTAGAATGGTGCAATGCTACGTTTGCCTCTCCACCAGGGATTCCACGAGTTACGACATTTCGGGTTGGAATTATAAGCTCTTTGTTGGTACGTTCGTAGGTATGGAAGTATCTGAAAAAAGACACGAAATTTGAAGTTTGCGAGTTCCCAAGTAATCATATACAGACATGTTTTGCTACTTTTGTTGAAGTAAATGAGTGTAATCCTCGAATAAATTACATTCACGACCCAACGTTTCGACGCTCCAGTCAAGTGTGGTTATCAGGACTGTCGTCATCGCCACGTGGTTTCTTATGTACTCAAGGGATAGAGTCCAACTCTTGTGGTGTCGTGGTTACTATGGTTACTATGGTTGCTTTTCCAGCTGGGGGACCCGGATTTGATCCTTGCTTGGGCCTCTACTCAAGGTCTTAAAATAGTTGAGGAGAAAGTGCTACTTTTACATTGACATTTACAGTAAACAGGTAGACGTTCGCGTCTTCTCTTGGATAAGGACGTCAGTGGCGGAAATTCACTTTTTCCGATGGGGGGGGGGGGCAAATCCTCCTAAATTGCCGACAAACTTTCAAATTTCCGACAAACCCCACCCCCCATTTGCACTCGAAAAGGCTGTTTTTAGCCCTCTTTTAGGTCAAAATTTCCGAAAATTTGTAATTTTCCGTGAAGGTGGGGGGAGGAGAGCGGTCGACAACCCTCTCCGCCCCATCGAGATTTTCACCACTGAAGGACGTTGAAATCGTAGGTACGGATCCCCTATCAATTAGGCAATAGCCTATTTGGAAATCCACTCACCAATGAGTGAGAAACTGAATAAAACTCAATTAAAGTCATCGGCCAAGATACTGAAGATATTCTTGTGGGCGATGACTCCTCTATTCATGTTTATATGCCACGCTTCTAGACAACATAACAACATGTATTTCTGTACAAACCTTTTCTTTTGTCAACTCGTTCCCAGCCTTCAAGAGATGAATGCTCTTATCCACAGCCACGAAGGCAACACGTGATCCGGGTGTAGCTTTCAAGATCAAGTTCGTTTCTTCTCCTGGTTTACGTTCGTCATCCTTGAAACTCACTGATACCTGGCAAATTAAAACATGAAGTTAAATCTCTCGTATCTTCTCTTTTAGATGGTGCAACGTTAGTAATATGCAGCACACTACCAGTGGGTAACCCAGAGCTTTCAAAATAAGCCAGCGGGTGCCACGAGGTTTACCACATGTTACTTTGTTTAGTACTTGAAATATAAATTCTGCTCTCCTTCTTCCACTCTAAACTCTCAAACAAAGTTATTTTTCCTCAACCTGGTCTACTTTATAACCCCCCCTCCCCTCCCCACGCCCTCCACACAGCCGCCTACTTTATAACCCTAACCTGATTCTCCAACTTATCCTCCACATCAAAGTCGACACTATCAGCCACAACCTCTTTGTCTTCTCTCACATAATATACCATCATCCGACACGATGGCACCATCTCCATGGTTACAAGAAATTTGATGTCAAACTTCTCCACTACTGGTCTTTCATTCAGTTTCTTGACTGGGATTGGTTTAGGTCTCCTCCATCCCCAATCAGGGAGGATTAACCTATGTATTTTTGTTCGGATGGTATCGTTGGTGCGTTGGAGGGTAGCGTTAGTGACATTAACTGTTACTTTGGTTGGTCGAATGGTAGTGGCGGGTGTTGCGGTTGTGGTAAGGTTCTCTTCTCGAACGTAGTTGTGGAGCTGAGTATGTGTACCGGACTTGACTGTGTTGCCTTTACACATGATCTAAAAGGTTTAAAACTGGGGTTATTAAGTTCATCATTTAGGGCGTTGTGACAAGTAGCACATGGTTCAATCATGCAGCGGTAGTAATTGATGTCTCTTCTGTGTTCCCTCCCAGAAGCATGGTTAGATCCTAAAGTGATCTCATGTTGTACAGAACTCACTGCTGAATTAAGCATGGTTAGATCATTGAAATTAAAAATATTTTTTTATTTCGGTTGCAGTATCTGAATAGTTTACTCACAGTATAGTGAAAGTTGACTCTCGTTCCAGTGTTGCTTCGCACTGTATAACGCACTGTGAGAGAAGCTTCGCTGTCAATCTAGACATATAGACAAGATATATAGTTGTTAATGATGGTTGTCATGGTACTCACCTATGGTGATGACGGTGTAACTGGTAATGGTGATGCGGGTGGTGATAATAATGATAGTGGTGATAATCATGGGGATGGTGGCAAACGATGTGATGATGATAATGGTGGTGATAATGATGATGGAGATGGTGACTGTGATGGTAAATATGATTATGATGGTGGCAGACAATGTGATGCATCATAATGGTGCTGATGATGTTGATGATGGGTTATGGTGGTGATGATGATGGTGGTGATAATGATGGTGATGATAATGGGGATGGTGGCTGTGATGGTAATGATAAAGATGAATGATGATGGTAGTGATGATGACGATGTTGAAAGTGTTGGTAATCCTGATTTATCTTACCTTAGCGGGAGTGTTCTGCGTGTTATGAATTTCAAGGTAGCTAAAACTTGGAGAGTACCAAGGATTTGCTGTATATGACGTGCTTACAGGATACATGTGTGCTTTCACTGGATAGGGATTTTTGTCCAGAAGATTAGCCTACATAGAGGGAGAAAACAAAATTTCATGAGGATCCTATCAGCAGTAGGATCTTACTAGCCGGCATCCTACTTTTTGCAGGTTTTATTTAAGATCCTCACAGGAACCTAACTTACGCAGGATTCTAATAATATTCTACCTTAAAAACCAAGCTTCGAGCATTATAAGTTGCATCATCAATGGAATCTGTAATCAAACCATTTGTGACGACGAATGTTTTGTTGTAAAATGTGGCAGCCGCGGACCATCCACGAGATACAGTGACATGCACTCTAGCCCCTGTTGCCGGCGAACCGTCAGGACGTGTTACTTTAAGCTGTTAGAAAGAGAGAAATGGTGTCAATATATTAAATAAAAAAGTATTGAGCGTTTTCTAACGTTTGGTTAACCAAAATATATAAAAAATATATCAATTACCTACCACATATTTAAATGGTAATCCTGGCTTAAATTTACCCGAAGTGCCACTGAACGATAATTGAACAGAGCGTCTTTTCATATTATATTTCAAAGCTTTGCTTTTTAGTGTCACCCCAGTTAGAGTTTCTGTGACTTGAGCATCGATAAGAAATTGTGTTCGATAGACATTAGTGACTTCCCCAACATTGAGTTCTTCTCGCAGTAGGCGAATGTCCGTACAGCCATTGATCTAAAAATATACAAACAATATCAAGACTCCGTTGACAACTGTACTCAAACTGGCACGATTTCGCAAGGCACGAACGAGGTCTTGGCATAACACCTAGCATTACAGTAATATTTTCATTGTTTTAAAAAATCTCATTGTTCTCCATGACATCCAGTCATGATCCATTGATCAGAATGTTCTATTGTCTTTTCATTGTTTTGAAAATCCCACGCGTTAAATTTCTCTTTAAATACTGGAACGTTTGAGGACGTCTATACTCGTACTGGTTTAAATGAAAGAGGAAAATAAAAAACTAAATACACCATACCTCTCTCGTGATGTTTTGACATTTTTTAAAATTTCGACTAACGTATTCCCTTCTTCTATAAATGTAATCATCATGCTTCAAACACAAAACTGCGTTCAATGTTCCTTTCACGTTTTTCCCATATGTATATCTATAATGAATGTACAGAGTAACATTTTGTAACTGTTACCATGTAGTCTTGCTATGGTGAATGGCTGGTAGTGGTGGTGCTGGTGATGATGGTGAGTGGTAGTCATGGTGTTGATGGTTGTGATGATAAATGTGGTCATGGACTGGTGGCCATGGTGATGATGACGATGATGGTTTTGATGCTGGTGGTGATTACAATGGTGATGGCAATGATGATGATGATGGTAATAATGATGATGATAAACGTAATCATGAAGGCGATGATGATGGTGATGGTGGTAATAATGATGGTGATATTGGTGCATAATGATGGTTGTGATGATGATGGTTGGTTGGACAACCAGGAGAACACAATCATAACTATCATATATACTATCATACGTACTATCATATATACTATCATAATAACTGACACTTACTTTGCACATATAGTAGTCGTAAATTCTTTCTGATCCAAAGCCATATACGCTGGTGGTGTGATTTTCACCTCGTATTTGGGCAGAACTAAAAACAAAATATTCAATAGAAAATAATGTTAATTTTTCCCATTACATGTAATTGCTTTGTATATAGAGAGATGCAGTTTAATCAACTTTCTGAAAAGTGTTTTCTGAAGTTAACTACCATCTACGGCACTGGGACGAATGCTGGAACACACCAGTCAACTAACCATATTTAGCAACTTCAATCGTCTGTGTTTTTCTTGCTTTCTGAAAAATTAAATACATGATTTTCTCATTACTAGAAAGGACTATTAGCACCCAAGTGGAAGTCATCTTTGTTGTGGCAGACTGAGTCTGAAGGCTAATTATTGGACTGTTCAGTCACCGAATGATTCTATTAATCCAAATCAAAACCACCACAGTTGCCGTTAATACACTGTCCTGGGTGAGTGATTCTGTTTCAGATTTTTAATACGAACCAATCTTCACTGAGTCTAGTGTGTTAATCCAAAGTCACGACTTAGTGAACTTACTCTACATAAATAGTAAACTTACACCAACAAACGCTGTTATTGTATATTTTCCCAAAATTGGCTCCTTCGAAAGTTGAAGTTCCAAACTTGCCATACCATCTTCCAATTTCACATCATTCCACTGTTTGATTCTTGAAGCCGATGCCACCTGGATGAAAAAATTGAGAATGTGAATATTTATCAATTGACAAATACGTCTTTTCGATATTTGGAAACAAATTCGTATTTTTATTTTGCTTACCACATGAACGTTTGCAACCTAAAAGAAAAAAATAAAAATTAAAAATATGAATTTTTATAATAATAAATAAAGCATGAGCAGCTGTGTTGTATCAGATATACAAACTGGAGCCGAAGACGAGAAAGGTTGTACGTCTGATACAACACGGACGCGAATGTTTTATATGGAACTTTTGTATTCTTCAACAATTTAAAATAAATGATATTTGATATTTGGTGAATTATTGATGAGTTTGACAATAATAAATCTATTAGTAATTGGTAAAACTCTTGATCTGAAACTTGCTTACCTTGTCTCCTGTTAGTTTCAAATCTTTATCAAGTGATAGGATTCTCATACGGACTAGAGAATTAAATTAATGAATAAAATGTTCTTAGCGAAATTGTTACACTGTGCTTCTAATTGGTTCGTTAGTTTTAATTAACTAATTGATTGATGGTTAAATTGCTTGATAACTAAATTATTAGTTCAAATTAATTTCTTTGGCATTTGCACTTTACTTTACACTACTGAAAGGTGGTGAAATTTCGCTACCAATTCTACCTACCATTACCTCACCTATTTTCTTCATTCATAGTGCTCTATTCCTAGCAAACTAAAACTAATGCGACGCAAATGCATTTTTAACGAGTCAGTTTTCATTTTCAAAGGGTCTATTGCTAAAAAATTATAGTATAAGAGCTAAAAAACCGTTCATACGTTTCTGTCCTGGTTTATAAATTGGTTTGTCCGTTTGAATAAAGATGTTGTTCGGTTTCAGCGGCTGTGCGGACACGGATCTTGATTCAGTTTTAACACCACAGACTGTTGCATCGAGGTCAAAAGATGTTCGATAATAATGGCGGCCATTTCTTACATTCTCTTTGGGTATCTGAATAAGAATTGTAGAATAAGTTAGCTTGGGCAAGGAGAAGATGGTTCGTCTAAAGACTGGTTTACACTATCAAAGTTTCTGTGATCACAGTAGGAATTTTGCACAGCTAAATACGAACGCCCGTATTCTAAAAGCACACTCACACTCAAAGAGTGGAGGTTCATTACTTCATTCTGAGCTTCCCTTGAGTGCCAGTGCTGTTTTTGAATGGCTGGAGGGTTAGTGTCGTACCTTACTTGGTGACTACTCACCCTCCAGCTATTCAAAAACAGCTTTGACACTCAAGGGAAGCTCAGATTGAACCTCCACTCATTAAGTGTGAGTGTGAGTGAGCTTTTAAAATACAGGCGTAAGTTTTGAAGAATCAGTTGTAAGAAATGTTTGAGGGAAACTGACTCACTGTTTCACTGGTAGTAGAGGTTTTACTGATTATTCAAAATAGTCTATGCATTACCCTTAATATGAGTTTTCCTTGTTCACCAGGTGTGAAAGTACCATTGGCTGACACGGTGACCGTTTTACTATTCTGAGGTTTAAGTCTGACTTCAACTTCACAAGACTTTGAACCAAAGAGCTGGATATTCACAGTTTCATCTTCACCAGCACGATATGTGTATGGCGAGGTTATCAGGTATTGTGGTTTTTCTGTCTCAACAGCGCTGTAGAAAATTATATGTATAGGTCTAGTTATAGTAAAGTAATATAGAGAATCTCTCTTCAACAAAAAAGTAAATCAAAACTATAGCTTTATTTATACTGAATAACTCTCAGTTCTAAACTGTTCTCCCTAGGGATCCAGTACTAGTAAGGATAATCTCTTATTGAATCAATATTACTACAGGAGGAAACCTAAACTAAAGTAATTTTATTTATACTGGATAGCTCTATCAGTTCTGAACTGTTCTCCCTAGAGGTCCAGTAAGGATCTTCTCTTATTGATTTGGTGTTACTGCAAGAGGAAACCTAAACTAAACTAACTTTATTTATACTGGATAGCTCTATCAGTTCTAAACTGTTCTCCCTATAGAGGTCCAGTAAGATCATCTCTTATTGATCCAGTGTTACTACAGCTAACTTTATTTATACTGGATAGCTCTATCAGTTCTACACTGTTCTTCCTAGAGGTCCGGTAAGATCATCTCTTATTGATCCAGTGTTACTGTTCTTTCAGGAGGTCCAGTAAAGGTAATCTATTTTTGGCGCAGTGTTACTACAGGAGGAACCCGGAATGCCAGAAGAAAATCGGCGCTGTTTGATACAGTCAAAAGCCTGGTTCACATTGATCGTAAACATCGGCGATGCCCATTGTCGGTGGTCATTGATGCATAAAATGTTTTGTGCATTTTCTTCTTCGTTGCTCACAGACAATGGATCGTAGAACATCGCCGATCAATGTGAATCAGGCTAAACTGAAAACACTTAGATATCTTAGCATGTAAATGAGGTAGAACCCCTGTCATACAGGCGGAAGATCAGAGGCTAGAATATTTGCTGATAAAAGTACAGAAATACTAGGATAGCAAGAAGACTACACAGGTTTTTAAGTTTCTATGTATAAGAAGGACAAAAATGGTAAATGCCAAACACAAAACTTGATCCAGGAAAAATCTACCCATTACAAGGTGACAGGATGTCGAACAATTGTTAAAGCAATTAAAAACCAACTCCTTAACACTTCATGTGATAAAGTAATTCATTGGAAATTAGAGCCATTAAATTTATTTTTATAGATGATTGTATTGAGTTAACACCCCATAATCAAACTCCTGCAATTCTTTCAAGATTACATCTGCGACAATTTGATATTGGGAAATCATTGGAAAACGTAATTGTTCTTCAGGTATGTGTTAAGTAAACATTTAATATAGTTTGTGTAAACAAAGGTTCTACATTAATTCACCACCTGGTGTGAAAAGTATTGATCGAATCGATACTTCTATAGCTTGCGCAATTTATGGAAATATGGAATGCAATTAGAATATACTGGAATGAAATTTCCGCAGATAATAAAATATAATTCTTTTGTTTTCCCCACTAATCCTATCAAAACGTTAAAATCCGTTTTAGCATAAATCGCGACTACCTGTAAGTATGCCGCTACGCTCTGCGCCATCTTATTGAGAGATTACTTTGGCATTTTGTCCTAACCTTGCACCCTCTCGAACTTCTGGCCATTTACTAGAATTTGGCTAAGAAGCATTATTTATATTATATTTTGTATAAAAATATTATCGAAAATTTAACTACCGGTCAAGTCTAAACCCAAGGCGTGTCGTACGGTGGTCTAAAATGAAAGTTATATATGTTATAAAACAAATAGCTCCGATAAATATAAAAAAATAGATTTCATAGTGATACATTTCTCAGATTTTATAGTGATATATTTCCCAGATTTCATAGTGATACATTTCCAATATATAACTAAGTCGAAGAGGTTTCAAGGCTTATCAGAAATCGTTTTTTATTTGAAAACCTTTAGCAATTTAACTAGAGTGTTCTAATCTGGCTACAGTGCAAACATTTGTGAGATCAAATTTAATTTCCGCATTGAAGAGGGAACCGCAATGAAAATATAATAAACTGTGGCTGTTCACGCCGTTGTTTACGGCGAAATTGGCAACCATTGCATGTTTATGTTATGTTTATTTTAACCACCTTGCCGTTATTGCCTGTGGCGAAATTACATGCATCGAATCATATTTCAAACACCACTGACAAGTAAATTGAGTTAAAAACAATAACCATAATCTGATTTATCCATTATTGAAACATGAATACCACAATAGAAACTGCCTATTATCATGGTGCGCAATCAAACGTAGAGATAAATTGACGTCCAAATGTCTATTTTAAGCAAACTGCAAATAATGGCAAGCATATATAGTTACACAATTCAAATTGTTTTACTTGTTTTGAATAATGTAGAACGCCATACACAAATACTTTAGAAGTGAATGTGCATGTGCTAGGTTGCGCATTTATAGCCTAAAATGGATTTTGGAAATTATCAAATAATGTAAAAGAGCGCCGTAATACAACACGTATTGACACGCAACAACATGTTGCGCATGAGCGATTTTGGGTTTTATGTCAACTGTCAAATAAATACAAATTTCATACGCAATTTGGTCGTAATATTATCATTGATATATCAACTTTCTCACACAAGCACAAGATGTACAATTCGTCGTCAAATCCTGGTATAGTTTAAAGCATAATCATGTTGTGCGCATGTAATTCTTAATTGCGCAGCAAATCTTGCGCAAACTATGCAAATGAAGCGCAATACTCAGTATAGATCTAGATAAATAGAACTTAAATCAATCTATATGCTATATCAAGAAAATTGTACATACATACCTGCTGAAAGCAGCGGCCAGCAAAATAAGCGCAAGATGTCTGGACATTTTGACACAGAACTCGAATGTAACTGGGAAGTAGCTGAATGTCAAATTTATAGCTGCGCAAAAACCGGAAATACGTCATATTTGTGCTAATGACTCACTGAGACGGAGGTGGGTGTGTCGGTATGACGACATGAGTCCGAGTTAAACGTTTGAATATCGGAAGGCTTTCAACGGTGCATTGACCTGCCCCATTAGAAGTTATGCCAGATGATTGCCAAAACTTGGGAACAGAGTCTACACGGATTGGGAACACAATCACAACATCATGAAGTCTTTATATAGCATTTGTTGTTTTTTAAATAATACTCATTCTGGGATCGGTCTTTTTCGGCCTGTCAACGATGCATTGACATGTCAAGTGAAATTTTTGCCAGATTGTTGGAATATTAGGAAATAAAATTTACATAATGTTGGGTGAGGAGCAAAAGGAATTTAGTCTGAACACATGTAGTTTTCACTATGTTGTTTTCGTAGATTTTTGGAGAAATTAAATCTAACTTAATAATTATCAATTTATATATGTTCACAATTTTTCTGTGCCACACTGAACCTCTTCGTTGAATGGTGTGTTACAGGTTTCACTCTTCACTCGATTTCGGTTATAAATATAAAACCGGTGCTTACCGTGGCCATTTGGGTAGGTGAGTGAGAATTGATAGAATAATCCAGTGTAAATAAAGTTAGTGAATGATTGATGACTCTTATCACTTTTTTAACCAAGGAATGTTTAGATACCTGCTAGACTCTCCCTGATGGCTCATGTGTCCTATTAAAATGCTCAATAATGCGGAAAGAACAATATCGATGTTCGTCTAGTACTAGAAAACACCCAAAGCCACTTAGCGAACGATCTTACGGATCAGGATGACTTTTTACCAAATCAGGTACACTAACTGCTGCGTCAGTGTAAAAAAATAGAGGCGTTAAGCAGCTTCTAACACTTAGGCGTACCTATGACGTGTTTAGGCATGCACATCCAGACAGTTTGGTCGGGAACCTATTTTTTATTTGCCGTACGGACGCCGTACTAATGAATTTACTTTACAATCTTATCAGCTAAAACGGAACTATTAAAGTGATCCCAAAAGTTGAAATAGGTACTAGATAGTCTATGCGTTGATTGCTATCGACTATCGAATAAATATATATATTTAATCAACAACAAAATACCAGTTTTGGTATATTGAGATACCTACATAAAAAATCTACCACTACATTACGTACAAAAATATAACAACTTTACTAATAACCTAATTTAAACTTTCAAAAACTGCTAAAATGTCGTAACAGTATTTGGCAACCAAGTTCATAATTGTCTTGTCTTGAATAGCCATAATATATCTAAAAATATCTTGTTGAGTGAACAAACAGAAAGAACGATTTATTTTACATAAATTATTTATAAATATGGGTTGTTATCTTTTTACACAAAACTGACTTTGCTCAATTCAAAAGTGGCGCATATTGTTGGTGCAATATGTGTTTGTATAATTGATAATGTACGTGCTACAATGCAGCATATTATGCTAATTAAGCTCATTCATAAATATCGCTGCTATATGCACGGGAAATGCACAGTTCAAATTCAAAACGCAGACTGTTCAGTTAGAAAAGTTCATTCTATAAGCGAAAATGAACAGGAAAAGAAGACAAATATAAAAACCTGAACTTGGTTCTCATGATTGCTTTACGTTAATAACCGTGCACCCCGCGCGACTCTAGATAATTAGGCCAATACATGCGCTCGTAAAAATTTGATATGTACAGTGATTTAACATTGTTTTAAAGTGATTCATTTCTATAATAAGTGGACAGGTGGGAAGAAATCTAAGACATCAAACTGGCCCGCCTAGACCCTCCCATGGAAAGACACCCTAAAAATTGCCAAATTTAAATCATGTCCAGGCGGCCACTTCGTTGGGTATTCTAAACATGCAATTTTCAAACCAAGGCGGAACTGAAACACCCATACTAACTTAAAATCTCATTCAACACGTTAATTAGCGTCTAGTTTATACTTGACACAAGTGGACTCGTATTATTTAGCTGCAAAATTGAAAAGAACGTCCTGTGGAACCTATTTAGAGAACCCACTGTTTGACCGCGACTTTCACACTTGTTTTCCTCCTTATATACAGTACGAGACAAGTAGTTACAATACGTTACGGTGCGAGTTCACTTGCAGCAGGTCAACGTCTAGTTATGGTCAACTTGAAAAGGCAAATCCAATATATATTTATGTAATTAATTAATAATTCTATATAGTAATGGCTAGTATGTACTCTAGATCTAGATAAACTGACGAAAAATTACCTGATAGAGAACTTATTAATTTTAGTATTAAATATTTTGTCACGGGGGACGTACTATACTCCCCAAAGCCTTTTGGTTTATTATGGTCCTCTGTCCAAATATGTATAATGTAAACTAGTACATAAATATATATAACTTACGAAATGTATTGTAAACATATTTGGAAAATAAAATATTATTATTATTATATGTAAAAGTTTCTTATGAAATAAGTAAATGAATATAAAAGGCAGCATTTAGTGTGACGATATTACCATAAACATTCTCTGCATGATTTAATGTGAACTTGTTCATGAGGTAACTGGTACTTGTATAAAATTTAGAAAGATTTAAACTGTTGTGTTGGAAGAGGAGACGAAATATGTCTGCTAGAAATGTATTAAAGATTCAATTAAACGTTTGCATGCGTATGAAAAAAGCCGAACTGGAAATCAGAACGGTGACAATAGCACCAGTTGCAGATGGAGAGGGTTCTACTGCCTCAAAAATAAAAACAAAACTTCAATGTTTCGAGCGAATGCCAAAGCCTTTGCTGAAGTTTACATTCTTGGTACATTCATACAATTTAACTATAAATTTCGGGTTAAATATTCTCATAAACGAGCTTCGTATAAAACGTGTACGCCAAAGAACTACTGGGCATGCGCAGATGGGTTCGTTGTTGCACGTCCCACATGCGCCGCGTACGAACAGAGCGACGTATACAAATACAAAATCAAAACAAGTTCTTACGAGGTCCGAACTGGAGAGGGTTATCCTACATTGACTCCTTCGGGAGTTGGAAATCTCCGCACGGTTCAGTCGGACCTGTGGAAACTTACACCCCTCTCCAACCGAATTGACCTCTTTTTATCCTAACGTTTACAGTGTATTAAAATCAAGCACACAACTCGTTTCCGTTGTCGCAGGTTGGTGCATTATTATGGGATATGCGATTGCCCAGTACCTTAGCGGAAAAATAGTGCAAACCCAAAGATTCGCATTACAGTCCCCTACACACACCAACCGAATACTAATATCCTCACAGGAAAACGAAGAGCCTCAAAAGAGGTCAAGGGATTGACGAGGATGTTTTAGCCCGCCACAAGGACAAGGCTTTCAAATTATTGTTGATAACCCTCGCCATTCGGACCTCAATCTACACTGTTTTGTATTCGTATTTATATACGTTATAAAATGCGACCCGTAAGCTTGTGGGAGGAATGCCACACAGAGTAACACATTATTGCGCATGTCTATGAAGTAAAAGTACAAAACGCGACAAAAACGAAACAGGGAAACATCAATTTGGAACTGACAATAAAATTGGCTAGGATTTATGACTTGTATTTAGGTCAGGTTTACACTGTATTCCGATACAGAGGAATTATTGATTGCAACAGAGAGATGTTGTTCCGCTCAGCTTCTGAAAATTGTACATTTCGAGTCCACGAAGGAGGGCTTTCAAATTGAATACCCTCATTGTAACTGATAACCCTCACCATTCGGACCTCAATATGTAATTCTATTTACTTAAATCCGTATTTATATACGCGTAGTGCCACAACAGACTTACATGTTTATACAACGCATGCTGGAATATACATGGGAGAATTGCATTCATTTACACATTTGTCTTAAAAAATTACTGAATCATATCATTTATATTGCTTCTTATAAAAATTAAGTTTTAGCAATCCAAATTAGAACTTCACGATATAAATTGAGACACGATCCATGTCTCAGTTAACACAATCAATGTCTCATTTAAACATGATCAATGTTTCAATTAAACATGATCAATGTCTCAATTAAACATAATCAATGTCTCAATTAAACACGATCAATGTCTCAATTAGCTATCATTCGCAACATTAGAACACCACTTGGATTTACTAGACCTCTGAATGAATTCTCAAAAACTCCGAGATCTTTAGCGGCAAATAAATCCCTGATCTTCGCTGAGGATCCTGTAAAACCAACCTTTAAATAATACAAATTGAATGATAAATCGCAAATCTGTCATTTACTCAGTCAATGAATAATCAAACCAATTGGCAATTATTATAAATACTTTCATACTTACAGTTTTGAATGTAAACGATATTTGAATGGGCATATCTGTTCTTCGACTAAATAACACCACAGCGATTGATTTATCAGCCAAAGGTTTACACCATATTTCATAATGACTGGTTGACTAGACGAAACAAAAAAGTTTCACAAATAAACTAGCAGCTACATGTACAGATAGATCCATCAACTAACAAACAGAAATCTTCATTTACTTCACTCACCTTATACACACGTTTTCCCTGTACTCCAAGTTTGTCCTGATTTACAGCTATGACATCCCTTTAAAAGTTTAAACACGTAACTTTATTATTTCATTTCTGCTTTTCGTTTCTTTTCCCTTCTCTCTTCTATTCCTTCCTTTCCCTCACACACTTTCTTTCTTCTTCCTATTATTCTTTTCTCTCCACCCTCTAATTTTTTTCTTTGACAAGATGTAATTCTCGAAGAAAATACTCACTTGTTTTGAAGAATATCCTTGAACTCCGGTGCTAGTAAACGTAGATCATTCGACATAATCAGAGGCTGTAAATATTAAACATGTTTAAAGGCGAGTGATGAAGAGGAAATAATTATAATTAACAATAACCAATTGATAATAATGATCAAGTGTTTGTGATTATCAATTCTGTCTCACCGAAGCCATGATAGCCCAGATGGCAAATTGTGATTTACTCTCCTCAAAACTTGATGAAAAGTCACCAATTATAAGCTAAAAGATAAAAGGTAGCCAGTTTCTTAGATCTGAGAATCACTGAGATGAGATTAAGTAAGACACCATCTTATGGAAAACTATAAAATGCCCTACAGGACATCCAAACCTCGTCTGGATCGTTCCAATTGCCAGGACCTGCAGCCTTGATCATAGCGTCTTGGTTTGCAGCATAGTAATCAATGATGGTTAAAACACTGTCCCACGAGTCCTGAACGAGGACATATACTGAGTCAATGACTTCTTCAATCCTGTGAATAGTTGACATGCACTGTACTTGATATGTAATAATCTTTGTTTTCATACTTGTGTTTAGAAGAAGTGTACAGTACCAATGGATTACATAGAAAATATTTAGTACAAACTACTGTAGTTATAATTTGCGATAAAATTCAGTTTATCAATAGATTTCTAGAAAGAAAATATATAAAGTTTCTAAATGTTTATACCTGTATGTCATTATAGTTCCTCCATAGGTTACAATACTTTGCCACAACTTGGTAGTCAGGCTACAATTATAACATGAACATTGCTTACAATAATTACATTATTAATCTCTACAGTTCACAGGTACTGTAATCTTCCTGAGCTAATTCATGTTCAATACTTCTTCATCTTCTTTGCTACCACTATGTCTTCCTTCATTTTTTCATGCTTTCCTTCTGTTTCCTACATTTATTTGTCTAATTCAATGGTTATCCTTTTTTATTTCCTTGCTTTTTATTGTTCCTTTCTTCCTCTCCTTCCTCCCCTCCTTCCTCCCCTCCTTCCTTCTTCCCTTCATTATTTTCATTCATTCCTTCCCTTTGTTTGTTCCCTTGTGCATTCCTTCCTTGCCTTCCTTTATTCATTCCTTCTTCCCTTCATTTGCTTGTTCATTCCTTCCCTCATTCCTTTCCTTTTGTTCCTCCCCATGTTCCTTCTAATTCCTTCTTCCTTTCATTCATTCATTGTTTGTTCCCTTCCCTTCCTCCATCATCCATTCATTCATTCATTCATTTCTTCATTTCTTTCAAACCACACCTCACCTTGGGATTTAGATAAGCAGGCCAACTGCATGAAAACACAATAGGTCTTTTAGTAGCATTCAGTGCCTTTGTCATCTGTGGATAGCCAGTAGCCATGGTTTTAGGATCTGAATAACATCCATCAAACTTCAGATAATCAACAGTCCAGTTTGCAAATGTCTAAAATTCAAGTTGTTAAAATCAGTACCATAAAATGATGCAAGTGAATTAGTTTGAATTCAGGCTTAAGCAACACTACAGATGCGAACACAATCAAAGATCTAACCTGTGCATCCAGCATTATATTATCAATACTGCCAGGATATCCTGCACATGTGTGAGTGCCATAATCTGATGAAAAATATTGAAAATATTATTCAAAATAAATAGCATGGCCATCAAATGTCAACATCGATAGTGTACAGTACCTGCATAGATCCCTAGTTTCAGTTTCTTTGAATGGATCTGTGGTGTTGAAATAGCATGATTAATGCCACACTCTGGTTTGACTTAACAGACGTTCATTGCAGGGGTAGTGGACTGGAACACAGGCTAGGGTTAGGGTGAATGTTAGGGTGCTATTAACACCAGATGCCAAGTTTTTTTATATCACTTGGAATGAATGCCTATGATGTAGTCAAACCCACCAGACTCATAAATTTTCTTACAATGGCTACATTATACTTATTAGGCTGTAGTGTACCCAAATTAATCTGCCTTACTTTGTTTCTGTTGAACACATGATACATACATAATCAGCTAATGCTCTAATTCCACTGGGAAATCTCTTTTTATCGGCTTGTAATCTCCCTTCACTGTCACGAGTCTTTTCCATCCAACAATCCTGGCAAAAGCATGAATTCAGCTGACATCATGTAATAATTTTGTGGTGTCATGTAATTTCCCACTTTACACAATGGAATGGTTTTTCACATTTAAGCAAGCTAAAGAGTAAAGGTGTGAATAAAATATGGGCTCTAAATTCTAGCAGCATAACACGGTGTTATGCTGCTAGAATTTAGAGCCCATGTTTTCATTTGCTTCCCTGATCATGCATTTCTGATACAGTCACAGTACTGTTCCACAATGTAATATTTTCTGCAATTTGCCTCGCAATGGCATTGGCTGAAATTATTACGAGCAACTTACATCGATACTGATATACTCATAACCAACATCCCTGAATCCATCTTCTGCCATACGATCCGCCATGTCCATGAAAAGTTTCTCACTATAATACAAGAGTGGATGTTAAAGAACTAAGCAAACTACAGTAGCTAATTAAACTCAAACAGGCTGTGTGTGATTTACTTTTTCTGATATTTACCCATACACCTTACCATGTGAACCAGGGTGCATTCCATGTAAACTCTACGCCGGAGATACACCAACATTAACTATAGATAGTACTGTAATTTGTCAAACTCACGCTGGATATCTTCGCACTTTTGTGCACAGAATGCACCCATGCATGTAAACCATGCCATCACCTTAGCATGTACACATGAACTTGCAGTTAGAGCTCAAACAACTGGCCTCTGTAGCTCAGTTGGTTAGAGCACTGCACCGGAATCACAGGGCTGCAGGTTCAATTCCCGCCAGAGGGCCTATAGTTGTATTTTTCGCCACTGATCCTGGTTAGGTCAAATAAATGTTTAAAAATTTACACTCGCAATTTTCATCTGCAAACCTAGTAAAATGTTTACAGTCTGTTTTGACCAAATCCATCTGACCTATTTACATCAATCAGTTCACTGACCTGATACAAGTATCTGGGAATGTATCACAATCGACATTACATCGAAATCTTTCCCAAGCCATCCATCCCACTGCAAATAGAATTGTTTCTATTTTTAGCAAATTTTGCGTCGTAATAAAAAGGTTGCATAAATCGTCTTTAAAACTTAAAAGGCCCTTAAATAAACATAATTATACTAACTTGGCGGTGTCAAAGATAATCCATTATCCAGGGAACTAGCACAATCCAGTAATAACGTAAATACTACAAAAAAGTTGAAATAATTCCGAAAAAAACTTGAACCTTTCATCTTCGATTATGTTTTGAATTTTGAATGAATTGCGGAAGCCGGCGTTTGCCTTCAGAACAGCCCACATTGCGGGTTACATTGTTTGATCAGAAAATTTCCTTTCAATATATAAGGAAATATGAAACCATTTGCTGAAATAACATATACTTATTACTTAATACAGTCAACGATCATAAGATAGATGGCCAGAACCTAGGAAATACTGATAAAATTTGCAAACTGAAATTTAGATTTACAAAGTATTAAAATTTTGAGTTACTTGTTTTTACAACGAAAAGCGATTTTAAAAATTCTACTATGGAAACACCATAAAATGAAACAATAAATCCAAATAAAAACCAGTGATAAAAACATGTTATACACTTGAAATTCGAATATTAAACACGAAACTAGGGCACAATACTATGTTGTTTTGTTTAATACTTAAATTGTGAATGTGAGTGATGCATTTATTCGGAATATTTTTGGTTTTATGCGACTGTTTCCTAAAGTCGTCAGCTGAAACTAAATATGGAAACACGGCAGTTCTAATAGCCAATCAGAAGCTTGCATTAAAGCGCGGGAAGTGATTCAAAAACCAAGATGGCCGGTGAAAGAAATCAATGGTGGCCTTGTAAACTGAAATATTTAGAGGCAAATTACGAGCGATGTAAGTTGAAAGTTCGTCAAGATTCATTATATTGTAAACTGTTTATTCTCGAGTATCAAAATCGCTTGGAAGAAGAGAAAAGAATTACTTTGAAATATGAAAAAAATGCCGTTTGTCAACGACTACAACAAGCCGAGGTGAGTCAGTTAAACTATAATTATTGTTTACAAATATGACGGGTGTAATTTGCAGAATGTCCGAAAGGGTTGTGGTTAGGTTCGCGTTCTGCATTCTGAAAATTTCACTCGCCGTTTACAGATACATGGTTGAATACTTGAATTTGAATATTATTGATTGTGTTTATTTTATTTTCTTACAGTCAGAAATGAATGCACGTTTCACTTTGACTCGCTAGATAATAGTTTACATATATTATATATTGCTATGAGACAAAATCATTGTAAAATGTCTTTAATTTCTTCATATATCCCCCTAGTATTGATGACATACACTGTATGTAGAAAGATTTACTGTCCTTGATTAATCACTGAATGCATACTTTAATCAAAACATTTAAACATGATATCCAATACCCAATTACTATTTATTCATTCCAGAAAACATCCATACCACCCCCACAGAGGAAATAGGAAGATAACCCCCCTACCTCCTTTGGATGTCCTAATACATTTACTATTATCAGAAACAATTTTTTCTCCCCTCCCCCTCCGGACGGCAGAAATTTCCTCCGTGGGGGCAGGGTTTTTTTCAGGGCTTTTTTAGGGCTGTTAAACTCAACTCAATCTTGAATTGAGTTTTGAAACTCAATCTTCTCACCAAAGTTTCAGTGCAGTAAAAATGAAGTTGTTTGAGTTAAATTTGTGACGTGTGGAAATTAGTTTTCAGTTGGAAACCCGACAATTAAAAAAAAATGACTGGAATTCATCTCACAACACAAGAAAAACTATGCATTTGCCATCTTTGGGAGGTGCAGCCATCCCAGCTGTTCAGCTAAACTCAATCTTCTCTGCAAAAACGGACCCAAGAGAAAATCCTGAAAAAAAACCCTGGGGGGGGGGGGAGTATGGATCTTTTCTGGAACGATCCATTTCCATCGGATCATCACATTAACTTCAATCATGGGAACCCAACCTAGTCATGATTCTAGCCCAACTGATGACATATATTTACAGTATATGTCACTTAATTCTGTGGTATGAGACATTGAGGTAGCTTATGTCTTGTATCATCTAAATTTGCTGTAAATCAGTTCTCTTGACCTTGTCCAGCAAAAACATCTGGAACTTACAAATGAGAAGGAATTGGTGGCCAAGAAGGCGGTTGGAGATTTCACCAATGTGGAAGGTGAATGGAAGGCCAAAACAGACAAACTAATCAAGGAAATTGAGTCTTTACAGGTATAGAAAATATCATTGAATACTTTGCCTTAATTTTGCAGTTGTCAGTTTAGTAAAAACAGTTCACAATATACATGTATATACTGTTTGAACATAGTGTATATCTTACTAGGAAGAAAGAGAAAATGAAATAAAATCTAAAGATGACTATATCCTTGAACTAACTAAGGAACTACAAGTTTTGAAAAAGCTGTCTCAATCAAAGGTCTGTTCTGTTTTTACTTTCTAGTGTCTAATTGAGTTGTGTGAAGTTCACTTATCTCCTAAAGTGTCAGATGTGTAATCCTCACTTAAAATTGTGCAATGTGTTGTAGTGAATTAATGAAATATTTACATTGAAAGGAGAGAATGAAATATTTAAATAAAATTATATATTATGATATATTGAATAAAATATTTAAATGCCCTATGTACTTCTGAGAACCAATGAGTAATAAAGTTTATTGGTGAGCATTTTTGTGCAGCAAAAATTCCAGCTGCTGATAATTTCATGAATTGTCAGTTGTGTTTTTTATGATATGAAATGAGTTATGCCAAAGACAGAGGCTCATATTTTTTTCCTGATGAACAGTGTATAAACTATGTTGTCATTTTTGTAACCAAAGAGAGACGAAGTCAATTATAATTTTGACAGAACTATAGCCAATATTCTTGAAAGACAAAAGGCATAGTGCATGAATTGAATGAATGAATGATGTAGCAGTGCTAAATTTCATGATCTCTTGCACTGTCAATGAGACAATCAGTGGAGAAAACAACAGAATGATCATGTCAGAGAAGCCTGCATGATAGCTGTTTACAGAGAAACAATATTCATGAATCTCTGCAAGGCCAGACAAAGCCTCTATTAACCATGGTACATGCAAACCATTTTTGAATCTGTGAAGCCCAATATTTTTTTTAATAATACAAAGAGTATCACAATGATTCAGAACATCGATCGTGATGAATGTATAAAAGACTGTTTTTTGGCAGCTTATTTTGATGACTGATTAATTTGGTATAGGAGCCCCATGCAGCAGGAAATACTGAAGAGCAGCCGGGTAATAAAAGAAAATTGGTTAAGACTAAAGGAACTCAAGAATTGCGTAAACAGAACTGCCAAAATAGTACTACATCGAATAGTATTGAAGCTCAATATCCCGATGACATTGTTCCTGAAGAAACAAAAACAGTTTCTGAGAATAGGAAAGGAAACTGTGACGTTGGGAGTTCTAATCTGGTATCAGATAATATCGAGAAATCTGAGACGTCAGATGGAGAGAAATTGTTGGAAAGTGAAATTGGTTCTGTTTTGGAAGTCACAGAAGAGATGTTAAAAAGTTGTAGAAGACGTTCAGTTTTGAAAAAAAAGAAACCCGACGTTTGTGGTCTTGAAGATAACAATTATGAGTGGAGCGATTGTACCAACAAGGACACAACACGGAGGAAAAGAAGAGTTACTTTCAATGGCGAGTTGGAGTTTAAGTTACCTGATGGGAGTAAAGAAATCGCGGAGTTGGTGAACGATGATTCTAGTGAGCAATTAGAATCACATGATGGGCAGAATGGAAGGGAAGATGACTTAGAAGTGTTTGATGATATTCTTTCACGTGAAACGCACGTTCGTGGAGAAGGACTGGATACTGGATGTAATGCATTGGAAAAGGGGAGTAAAATGGCTGGAATGAAAACATGGAATTTGGAAGGAGAGGATCGAAAAGATAATAAATTGAAGAATGAGATGGAATCTTGTGAAGTTCGTGAAGGTGAAGAATCTTTGGAGAATGTAGATACTCGAATGAACGATGGTTTGGATAAAAACCCGGATGAAAGAAAGCGAAAGACAGACTTGAGAAAGAAAAGCAAAAAGAAGGAAGGAAATAAAATTGTTGTTCAACAGGAAAGTGTAAAAAAGAATCAAAGAGTGGCAGTTGATACTGAGATTGATGGAGAAAATGATAAGAATAGTGGAGATAAAGAAAAAGATAAAATAGAAAAGATAAAAGGTGGTGAAAACAGAAGAATTTCTGTGGAGACAGATATTTTGTTATCCGCCGATCGTCAGTGTCAGGACGTAAAGTTAAAGTCTGGCCATGAAAATACTGTTGAGACTACCAAGACCCCCAAAACTGAAAATAAAGTGGAGTCTGAGAAAAGTAATTCTAATGAGGCAGCAAATGCTCAACTTGGAGGGACTGGAGGACGCGAGGTAAACTACGGACCAAGAAGAGGGCTGAGACGAGAAGCTAGTGGTGCTAAAAAACCATCTAAAAGATTACTGGATGTATTTGGCAATGAAGTTGATGGTAACGAAGAACCTCAGAACAGTCAGAGTAAGGAGAAATCACGAAGAAATAGAAGGGAAAGTAAGACGAAAACGTCCAACGCAGTCGCAAGAAATAAATTAGTTGATATTCCAATTTCAAATGAAACTTTTGAAAAAGAAGATCTTGAAAAACAACGAGATGAGAGTCTGAAAGATGAAGCAGCGTTCGAGAATGGAGATGCAAGTGACAACGAAAATAAATCACGAACGAGAAAGACACGAACTAAAAAAGCATCAGGAAAAACGATGAAGACTAGAAAATATGCGGCTAAGATTGAAAATGAAGTGGAAGGAACTTCAAGAAAACGCCGTGGCAAAAGAGGACGGGAGGAAACTACCAAAGAAACGAGAGAGTCGTTGTTGGCAATTGAAAATGAAGAAGAAAGTAAAAATAAAGAAATGGAAGAGCACGGTAGAAAGAGTAGTGAAGAAGAGAACTGTTCACCAAAACAGTTGTCCCCACTCCCAGGTGAAGTTGAATCTTCTGCAGATTCGAAGCGTGTAGAAGTTGCAGATGACGCTGAAGAAGAACAAAAGATAGTCGATAAAATATGTGGAGAAGAAGTTAAGGATGACGTTAAACAAGCGCAAAATATGGGGGATGAAAAGTACGGTAAAGAAGAGGACGGACTCTTGATTGAGAAGAAAAATGCTGTAAGAAGACGAAGTCGAAGGAAGACCCAAGAGAAAATAAATAAAATGGAAGATCCAAATATTTTTGATGGGATAAAGGAAAGGAAACCAAGTCTTAGATCAAAGATGAGAAAAACGCTCGAGCTTGAAAATGATGAAGAGAATAATCGTGATGGAAAACAGAACTTGAATGAAAACAGGGAGAATGTACATGATTGCGTAGAAATTGATGAGAAAATCGGCATTGCAGAGGAAAATGAAGAACATGTGAATGAAAGTGAAAGAAAGAAAGCGAAAGTAAACAGCGTAATTGCGGACAAGAAAAGGAAAACTAATCTTAGATCGAAGAAGAGAAAATCATCAGAGCTGGAAATCGATGATGATGGTATCCAAGACGTGAATGAAAACAATGAGGATGAAAAGGCAGAACAAGTAAACGAAACAAAAGTAAGCATGTTAGATGAAGTAAAGAAACGAAAAACTACTCTTAGATCTAAGAAAAGAAAATCACCAGTTCCTGAAATTGACGTCGGTGAAATTATGGATCTCAACGAGGAAGATGTAAGAGTAGAGAATGGAGAAACCAATGAAAGTTTACGTGAAATTATTGAGAAGGAGATAGACAACAAGAGGCAATCAGGAAAGAACACGAAGTCGGCTAAAAGGAAGTCAGATACTGTTGTAGTAAACTCTGCGCCAAGAAAAACAAAATCCAGGAAAGGGAAGAAAAGAGAAGAGGCAGTTGATGATGATCAGATTAGCAAGAATGTGGCGTTAAACGTGGAAGATGAAGATCCTGAAATAAAACGTGTAGAAGATGATGATGAAGATAAAGCGAATAATGGAAAGAAAACAAACAAGAGAGGAAGAAGGCGTGTTGCAAAAGGAGAAAGCGAAATTAAAATAATGAATAAAAATGAAGATGGCAACGAGAAGATGGGGAATGCGACAGGAAGGGTGGATGATGAAGATAAAGAGAATTGTGAAAGAAAAAGTAAAAAGAAAGGAAGAAAACGAGAGCTTGCTGAGTCAGGAGAAAATGTTCTGAAAGGGAAGGAGAAAGGATCTGAAAAAGTAGGATCCACCAGGAAGACGATTGAAGACGAAATCGAAGATAAAAGGTAAGATAATTTCATACTGTCTTATTCGACGAGCATGACCTCAACACTCCAAGCCAAGTTACTTACCTTCATTCCTTCCCAAAAAAAAACACGCGTTACGACGTGGGTGTAAAGAACTTGGCTTGAGAGGGTTTAGTATATTTGACTAAGAGCCAGAATTTTAGTACAGTCCATGCCTCAGAATTCATTCTTCCAAGAATAAATCTACAGTCAACTTAATGTTGTCTCCACATAATTTATTACCAGGGAAGCGCCAGAGAAAATGGAGAAGCAGGAAAAAACAACTAAGAAGAAACGAAGAACGTTATACAGCATTAGAGAGAATACGACATTCTTTAATGCCACAAACTCCATATTCCAGGTGCAGTATTTATTAGTTGAGACCAGTGCTACCATAATTTTCATCACCAGTCTACTAATCTTTCTAATAATATAAATCTTCCACATGTACCTTTGTCTCAATTAAGCCCCTTCTCTGATAACCCTCTTTCTAACTAGCCCTGTTTTGATGAACCCCTATTTACCCCCCTCTTTATTAAACCCCTTCACACATCCCCCAGATCGAAAAACATGTGTACTGATTAAGTTTATCAACTGGGCTGGAGATTCACATATGAAATCGTTATTTCTGGAAATAAACCCAGCCCCAAAAGACGATTTATTATGATACCATGTTCTATCTTTCTAGGAAACTCTTACATTCAACCAAACACGGAGCAGCACTGCAATGCCTCCCTCGTTGTCTTCGTTCATGAAGGCATTTATTGTCCCAAAATTGAAGAAAAAATGAGACGTTTTGAGCTCCATTGTAAATTATGTACAGTAATACATGCACAGGTATGAGTTATATCTCGTGAGAAAAACTATGACCTAATTTTAAAATGTAGAGCTTTTGTAATTACTCATTTAAAACGCTGTTAGGGGACGGACCATTATTTTTTGAGGAGAATGAACATTTATGTATATTGTTTTTTCCAAACCATTTTTCTTCTTCCTGCTTACAAATTTTTTGTCCAGCTAATAACAGCTTAAAAAGTTTGCAGACAAAGATTTCTCATCCTCGCCCCCGCCTTCAAATTATAATGCCCCGTCCCTTAGGGCATTTGAGGTGTTTAATTGTAAACTGCACAAAAAATATACAGCAGTAACTGGTATGATAAGGCTCGAAGATTAAGACAGTTACATGCAAGTCGGAGAGATTATTTTTCTGCAAAACGATTGGTAAACTTCATGTATGTCTTATGGCTGACATGGTTTATTCGCTGTGGTACTTTTATAGTCTTAATTTTAACGCCACAGTAATCCTTATCAATGTAAGTTTGATGCAAACCAAAACGTCTACAGGTCATCTCTTATTTCCTAACTTGCAGTTAGAGCGGACAGTAAGAATTTTAAACAGCGCATAAAAGAACATATTATTAACCGGCCTTGTGAATATGATTCAAATATGTCAAATATTTTCTTGCCATGTCTATTCTCAATAATTTCTTTGTATTGCTAATGTATATTGTCCAGATTTTCAATATGCTATATTTAAGTTCCATGTTTCTTTGTACTCTTATTATAGTGTTGATAATAATATGTATGATAGGAGAATAATACGCTATTCAATTTGGATACCTAGTCATTATCATACCTCATAATCATATGTCATAACCACATATTATATGTATGCAGATTGTGGCTTTTACGTCTAGACTGTTTCAGCAGGCAATTAGAACAATTACATTACGCATAGCTGGATTTAGTATTGTAATTTACAGGAATGTTCTTATAGAGAATTGCAAGCATAGCATATTGTGAATTCTTACTATGACTGGAGAAATAATTATTGGATGGGCTTCGATGCATTGCAGCTGTATAAAAGTAGAATGGATGAGCGTTTTCGTCTGTAACTGTGGCAATTACTGGTGATACGGCTTAGTTCTGCTTTTGCTATTTTAAGCTGTTCTTTGCTCAGAATAGATACAGAAATTGTGAATGCTCTATTAATAAATGGAAGGGCTTAAAACCCTTCAACAATCAGTTATCTCGAGTCCCATGGGTAACTCCCATGTTACGTATAAGTATGTAGAGAGTCAAGCAAGAGTCCAACGGATCTTAAATCGTCAGGCTTAACCGTAGAGGAGTTCAAAAAGGAAAATCTGGGATGTCAGACAGATTGGGCACATCTTGTCTCTAACCTGAAATTCTTGGTTTGCAACCATTTCTAGTGTCTGAGCTCCACGCTTGTGCATTGAGGTTACAAGAGGATGCATAGCAGGAAATGAGAATGGAAGTTATCGAAGGAAAACATGCATGTTTTGTAGCCATGAAGTAACGCCATTTTCTGAAGTCAGTGCACAATCAGTTGCTCTTCTCTCCAATGTATAAAATTACCCCCCCCCCCGGCCATCAATATGTTCTTGACCTCAATGACCACCCGTCTTTTATCTCTTACTGAGAGAGCGGCCCGCTATGGCTGTTTTAAGCACTTTCTCGGGGTGTGTATTTCCGGGTTTCCAAATTTGGCCCGATAAATAGATGGTGGTGATCATCTTGTCACCATGATGGAGACTGAAGGTCTTGGGTGCACTGATGTATTTGACATTTTCCACAGAAGACAGTTATGATCGGTTAAAGCAAACAGCTTGATACTAAAATACTTCCTTGGCCTGGGAGCCTCGCTCTCATGGCGCAAGACAGAAAATGATTGGCTCATGATTGACGAGAACGAATCAATTATTAAATCAATAAATAAGTATAGTTGGCTATATACCCAATTCTGTAATATTATTGGATTCGGTTAATAAGTGATAATATGTTGATGTCGGTGAATATGTTTTCTACCTTATCTTTTGTGGGCGATGTCACACAAAACAGCCTTTGAAACGGCATTTTCAATGCAAATCGTAACCGAACCAATTAAAAGTCATGTTGCGAAATCTCGCTTACTGTCGATCCCAATCTACCTGTGAAATATTTCCGTGTTGTATTCGGCAATTATTCCCGTGCAATATTACTGCTTCGGCAATTATTTCCCTGCCGCCATGTTGGTCTCAGTTAGAGGAAATTCCAACTTGCATGTTTCATTTGAACCTGTGGTTCACACCGCTTCTGCACTACAACTTTGACGTGGTCGCATCACGGGAACAGCATGGCTTCTCTTCCGCTCAGCATGATCTTAATACAAAATGCTTTTGCTCCGGCATGTATTAATAAAACCTCACTCTTTTCATGCACAGTATGTGAACAGCACGTATCCCAAAATGGCGGCTCTAGCTTGCTAAGAAAACAATCGTAACTATGTTGGTTATTTATTATTCGTCAAAACAATTTTTAAACTTAGACCATTGCAGAGATACAAGCTGCGAATACCGTTTTAATCATCTTCAAGTTCGTAACCTTTCACGGGCAAAAATTTCAACCAAAAATTCGACGACCCAAATGTGAAACTATTTAAAGACTGTAAACTAATTTAAGCTCAGATCAAATCATCAAATGAGAGTTGGCAGTCACGTGACCTTGGTCAGCTGTTCTTAATGCTTTCCCAAGACTATCATGTATTCTATTTAAGTTGAAACATAGTTGGAACACTCATCAAACCTTATTTTGTTAATCTAGAGCTTGAAATGTCCCCTGTAACAATGCGTGACCGCCAACTCTCATTTCACCGGGGCTTAGGCGTGCGTATCTATTCTAATGCAAATACAATCGAAAGAAAATAGTTTCATCCTAAAGTTTCATGAACATATTGTAACAGCAAATATACCCAAATGGCACTGAAGAATTGTGATTAGGGAATATCAGCGGAGTAAAACATGGATCGTCGTTTTCAAAATTGAAGACAAAGCTCCCGCATTCTGCCCCAAATTAGAAATCAAGCACTAAAAATAAAATCGCAGACACATTGTGTAAAATGCGATGTCCAAATAAAAACTTTGAACCAAACTTTAATTGAGTTTCGCAAGTTTTGTGTTACAAAATTGCGAATATTGAATAAATTACATGTGTTGATTTATATACATACATATACATATATACTCATATTACCCGAGTAATAATAATTTACAAAATTGTGAAGTGGGCGGCAGACGCTATTCACTGTTTTGATTTTACAAAAGAATCATACAAATGTGGCAATTAGCGACAGTCCTCCCACTTTTTTTGTCCGCGTAATTAAATTAAGGCGTATTAACAACCAACTACTTGTTAATTCCAACAATATGGCAATATGTTGAATTAGTTGTGCTCTAAACTTTTCAAGGCTTAGTTTTCAAGGCTTAAGGATAGTTTTCAAAGTTTTTAGGCTATAAGAACACAAAACGACTCCTTTGATGCAAATGCCGCAATATTTGGGGTTGGCATTGATTGAATACTGACATTTACTAATTGGGCTAAATTGGCTTTCTAATTAGTTTAGGATATATGAAATTTGTCTATCGCTATTGATCTGTCTGGACAAATTATTGGAATAAATGAAGTGTTTTGTTATCAACTTATAGCCCGAGTTATTAATTGCTTTCTAAACAACCATAACAAGATTTGGTCTAGATCAAACGAAAATGAGAGTCGAGAGAGTTTGCTCAACTCCTCGGTCTAACGAGGCAAGAACTCTTGTGGATTCTCATTAAAATTTGAACCAGCTCAAATTTCACGATAGCCGATGATCTTGGCGGACTCCCATCAACAAGCCCGGTTTCTAGGAGAATTTGTTCGCACCACGTGAGGGAAAATGATGCCGACAAACGAGAAACTTCGCGCGATTCACTTGGTGGAAAACCGGCTTAGGGCACTCCTTTCATAAACCTACATATCTTGCTTAAGCCCTGAGAACTAACGTAGCACTACGTAATTGATACAATCGTCATACCTCTGCGTAAGAGAGGGTTGCTACACACAAACCACGTCATCGCCACACTTGCAATAACGCCACCAACATTATCAGTGTCACTGACAAACTACTCTTATGTACTGAATATCCTGATGAACTAGGTACCAAGGTGGTAGTACCAACAGTTTGAACCGTAGTTCTTGCTTTGGTTAGCCCTTTCAAAAAATCTCTTGCTGTTTCGTTCACGATAGGCCTGCCTTCGTCATCCTTATTTATAGTCCTGAAATCTTTCATAGCCTTTCGTGCTGCTTTGACGAAGGTTGCATCATCGCTGGTCAACATATCGAATAAACACGACTTGTAATAAAAGCCTGTCACCTTTGCCGCTGCACACATCCTGCGAGCTCTTTCTTGTCTCTGTCTCTTCACCCGTTTACTGAGTTTATCCTCTTTGTAGAACGACGCAATCACTTTATCAATTCGATTCATTTTATCCAGATTCATTTGCTCAATTCTGGGACAGCCACGTTGGCAGAGCCCAATAGTCTTCCGTCGCGTCAAGTCCTTTGGTACACGCATATGTACAGTTAAATATTTCCCAACTTGTCTTATAATTATTTTGGTCTTCAAAGGACAAATGTCAATCATAACTCGCCGTCTTTTTTTGAGTTGTGTGACAGTAGTTGGGCAGTCTTTGTCTCCACTACTTTTTGTCCCGTCTGAGAAATGTGTTGGTAAAGAGAAGCTCCTTGCTTGGTACATTTTCTCCTTAATGCATTTGCGTTTCAAACCTCTCACAATAACTGTTACCTGTAAGAAAGGAATGTCGAGGATTAGCAAAAAAATGAATAAACTTCTTAGGATACAAAGACCTTACGAGGATTAGCATAAAAAAAACCCTTGGTTACCCTTGGGTATAGATCAGTAAGTGTTACTAGCTAAAGTAGTAAATGCAGGAGGTTAACTTGTTGTTAGGGGCGGACCATTAGAAATCCCGGGAGGGGGGTGAAAATTCAAAAAAAAAAATTCGTGCAAAGGAAAATGCCTGGAAAAAAAATTCGTGCAGCCATTACGTCAGAGAAAAAAAATTCGTGCAAGCAAACAGCGAAGTAGAAATAGTCTTGAAAAAAAATTCGTGCAGAGGTTAAATGCATTAAAACAAATTCCTGCCGAGACACGCGACTGAAAAAAAAATTCGTGCCGCAAAAATTTTATACCCCCCCCCCCTCCCGGGATTTCTAATGGTCCGCCCCTTACTTCAAGTAAATCTTTTATGTTCTGTCTATGTTCAGGATATCACCTCTCCTCTATTCTCTCGCTCTCCAGTAAGGGCCTCCAGTTATTGGTGCAATGTTCTAGTAGACCATGTAATAATGTATCAAATTCACACTTCTACAGAGTGTTAAATTCAACACTTTAAAGTCTAGCACGTTCCATGGGAAAAACCGCAGCTCCTTTCATGTTAAGAGAGCTTCCGATTGATAGGGATACAACTACCTGAAAAATACAAGGAGAACTTCGACGTTTCGAGCGAAGGCTCTTCATCTGGAAGGCCCTTCGTATAACTTCCCAACAAAGTGCCTTTGCTTGGAAAGCCGAAGTCCTCCTTGTATTTTTCAGGTAGTTGTATCCCTATCAATCGGAAGCTTTCTTATTATTGAAATATTGACACTACCTAAACTGGTACAGGACGAAAATCCTAAAGAAAAGGTTAAGTCAGACCGCTCAAGATCTTCTCATTTTACTTAGTTTTGTCATTTCACCCGAGATTTCATCTTTGACCTAGACCCCTAAATTTTGCTCGCAAGTTGACATGTGTACATGATTAATTCAACATAAAGAAATTAATATAGTACAATTAGTCAATGTGTCAATGCATATGTCTGTAACAACTGCAGCTGAGCAAGACATGTACATAACTCGTGAATACCATAGTAGCATATAGTATCATTGATTACTAGATTGCGCGCTTTGTGCCACCAGTGCATGCTGAATTTTGTTCATCCTTATTTAAAATGAGACTGTTTAATATACAGCTGACATGTTTGTCTGACCCGTATGTCTCTGTTCAAGGGTTACAAGTATTATCTTACATTGTATAGACTTATCTCAAATATAGAACTGAAGTTCTAGAATTCTAAGAGTAACATGTCTGAAAATCATGTATGATCACTCGGTTTACTCAGACACATAGTCAGAATTGCTAGCGAATGCAGTATAAACCTTATTAGCAACTATCCTACACTGTATAGGAAGAAATTTACTCAGCTTTAATGTATGTTTTTCAAAAGGATAAAGCGCTTTAATTTTCTAGGTCTTAAAGCATTCCAATCTAGTAACCAGTATACATCATCTTGAGAAATATCTGGTTGCAAAACCGCGCGACAATGCGCTCTTCTAAACAGAAGTGGAAAATACTCAGCGCGCATGTGGGGCAGCGAAGCGTATTGCAAGAAGTAATAATGTCAGGAGATATGTTAATATGTCGCGTGTAACTGAACTCCGCCTTTGCATTAATTCTCACATTTCCTATAGTTTATAGACACTTCAAGAGTGTGATTGATTGCTTTTTATTACATCCTTCCTTTGTCACGATAACACGCAAACTACTAACGGCCGCTAACTGCTTAGGAAACAGGAATTAGCAATCTCAGTTGATCGGGGACGTCAAATAGACTTTGAATGTTGAGCTAGACAACATTAAATTGACATGAACTGAAATGTTCAAGTGTGTAGCTAGCTATAATTCTATAAACGAGTACAATTGTATTTCTTCAGACCTCATGTGTGTTGGGAATACAGCTGCTAAAGTGTGTTTAATTATTTTCATCTGACTTCCATATTGTTATGATTAACAAACCTACCAATATATTTTACACCTTACACCTATATTTTACACCTTGTACTCGCCTTATCAATAGTGTGTGAACTATTAACAGTAAAAATATGTATGAAGCTGAAATACGAGTCGATTTATCAGATATTATAACTCATATTTTATATTGTCACTGAATCAACAGACGGTCAATGAGACCTTGAGAGTATATTTTAAAACAGAAATCTATGTAAGTGAATATGCGAGTTAATCCCTTTCGAGACAACGAACATTTCGCTTTTCTTTGCAATTTCATAATGAACGTATATCTTTCACCTTTACAATCAAGCGGAAGAACTCAACGTTTCGTATCGTATTATGTAATCTGTACACTCGGGCTTGAAAGTGTAGTTACAAATAGAAACGCAGCTATAGGCTTGTGCGATCAATATATTAGTTAGTAAGGCTGTTAGATGAGTTATGCCGATGTTAGATTGCCGTAATATATGCTGATATGCACTTTTCTCAATCAGTAATATATAGGTATATATTAAACCTAGTAGATGAAGTTTCCGTTTAATATTGGCTTTAGTTCAGATATAACCTTAGTTATCTTCATCTAATCTTTGCTTAGGAAAAACAATGAAATCCAAGTACAAATATGTTTGTATATTCCATGTTGCGCGTGTGCAAAACCCAGAGTGTATCAAGGTTTATATCGTAGATCTGAAGATAAGCGCGGTCACAAGCTGCGTGCGGCAAACAATGAGATGCAATGAATATCTAAGCAAAATCCTTCATCTTCATGCAAACACAATGAAAGGGAAGAATAAAAGAGGGTATTAATCAAGCAGATTAGAACGATAATCATTCTAATTGCACATCAGATAAAACAGTAAACAAATGATACACAATGAGAACATCGAGCTCATGGACACAAACCACATAGATATCTCAAATCAGATGGCAGATTGTCGGCTTTTCAACCAAGTCACCCGCCAAGCTTGCCATAATATATTCAAGATATTTGTAACGACAGATAAAACCGTGTGTGGCAAACAAATATCGAAGGAAAATATTTAGCGCTTTATATTGTATGTTCTAAGATTCTGATATTCAATTAGAACAACCTAACTTATTCGATATTCAATTAGAGCTATACGAATATTTGTTACTTTAATTCTATATTTGTTACATTAAGGTTCGAATGATGACCGATGTTTAGATTTATAACCAGCAATTATTTAAATCGGTTTGGAATAGAAGTCATGGAAACATGATTCTGTTCCTTTCGAGCTATTTCCTCATGAGTTATCCTATTCTGAGCTGTTGATATCTAATTAGACCCTTAAATATTGTGACTATAATCCTATATTTACTACAATGAAATGGATTCTATCCTTTATTAAGCTAAATATTGACTCAAAATGAGTGAAACATACCTTGCTGGTTGCTGTAGCTCTTGAACTGTTCTCTAGCGGTATATTTGTCACTTGTACAGTCAGATATCTGTTGGCAAACAACGGCCAAGCGCCGGGGACAGAACATGTATGTCTTTTGTCTGAAAAAGTTCTTAAATGCGGGTCGCCAAACAAACCACATATTTTATAGACCGGTTTAAAAGTTGGTCTTCTACATTGTCTCTCTTTCGTTGTATGCTGACCTGACTTTAGAAACATGTGCGCTTCATCCCAAGTAATATTCATACTAGAACAGTTTTGTTCGTCCCTAAAGGAACGCATTAAAGTCAATGCTCCTTGGAAATTTAAGTTCTGTCGACACTTTCCCTGTAACGGTTCAGCACAACGCAGAAATTGCTTCACGTACACACACTTTCGTCTTACATTCTGTATCTCTTTCCTTTCAAATATTTCAGCCAATTCACGGTTCTCCATATTACATTTCTTGCACTCCTCGTCGCTAGAGAATAAACTGAGACCACGGATACAGTCTGTAAGTAACACAACTATAAATACAACACAGACAATACGTTGAACATGGACACGAAGTTTGATTATATTCCCAATAAGGCTGTTGACCATACTTCAGGATTTAAGGTATAATCAGAGACTTGGATTCCCCAATTCTTGTATTTTGGAAAGTCTAATAATATTTGTAATGATAACTCGTCTCGCACACCGCTCAACACATCCAACATGTTGTGTTGACTTGCAGACGGGCGATCATGCTACAGTCCTGAAACGACTTGTATTCGACCTCTGTAGTTGAAATAGCCTTGAAAATGAATGAATATGACGATCAATCAGGGAATTGACAGCTTTCCAATTAACCAAGACTCCTTGTCTGACTGATCCGCCTACTTTTAACGTGATTTGATTCTCACGCGATAACACGATCTCTCGCACACTCCACCACGATGCTGCAGCCTAGATGGAATGTATCCGTCGCTCGAATCAACCTCCAAATCCACAGCTCTGACCCACAGCAAAGCACACTAAAAATGACAGACAAATATATCAAGTTCGTTTGCTTTAAGGTAGGGGCTTTCACCCCCTAGCGCTTAAACCCTGCATCTGTCATAGAATACAGCTGTAAGAGCCATATCATCTCGCCAAATTTAAGGCTTTCTTATGATTGGATCACAGTACGACAAACTTCGACCTACAGGCTGTAGTCTGTAAACAAACTGGCCAAGCCAATCAGAATGCAGGGAATATGATTAACATTTTATGCAATTCTATACGTCTTCCCCCGTCGAGCACTCGCACAGTATGTCTGGCTCCTGATTGGTCAACGCTACTTTCCATTATGCGCGCTTCGCGGGGGGTTGAATTTTTTGTTTTCAAAATGCTGTGCTTCAATAGATTTTCGCATTTTAAACGTCCTCTCTTCACACTGGTTATAATATCAAAGACTATTAATAGTTTACCTTATGCGGTAAACACACATTCCTCCTCAATGTGTTATGGCCTATATTATATCCATTACCTAGCGATAATTTTAATAAACTACGAAACACACTCGCGAGACTTTAAACGTTCTTCAAATTCGAAAGGAGACAAAGAGTTAACAGTGTTTCAAATTTACTGCAAATTCATCATTGCACTGATGAATGGCGTATAATCCGATCAAAAAAACGCGATCGAAGGCATCAATATTTACAACACTTTAAAATAATGCTTGATGATGTAATTTATTCCTTCATTTTTTCAAGCTAATTCTTTACATTTTTCAAGCGAGTATTGCGATCTCTTAAAAAAATACTGTAGTATTAGATCGTTCATAATCAATATAGTATCAAATAATTCATCGGACCTAGAAATTAACAGTGGATCTATTGCCGATGATTCGAGTTTTGTGATTATAGCTTTCATGTACAATTGTGTACTTTCATGTACAAGTATATTCAAACTCAACAATAGCACGTCGGTGTAGGAATCTAATGTTTTCCGACCAAATGAAAATGTTGCTTTTAAAACCAAATGATAACGCTTCAAGGCAAAAATAATCTTTTAAGGACAGGTAATCTATTAATCCGTCTGGTCTAATATTGGGTTTTATTAAAATCCAACACTGAATAGGAAATCTTTGCTATATTTTCTATTCAAAGCTGTTTCATTTTTACCTGCAATGCAAATATTTTGGTTTCAGGTACGGCTTTCCTAACCGCAAAAAAGGTATTTTTCAAAACAAACTTAGAACGATTTACTGTATTTATCTTACCTAATATTTATGCACTGTATCAATAATCGCGCCCTTGTTTGACTTGGGCTAAATAGGTCATGTGCCTTCAAAAGTAGATATTGATTTTTGTCGATGTAGGTTGAAATAATATTGGTTTGGATTTGTTAGATGATGAGTAAGATGTGTACTGATGTATGGGAATGTAGGTCAGGCATCCTTTGATTCTTGCAAGATAGATCATTGTTTAAAGACTATATGAAGATCTTCTATATATCTCACAGAGGCTATCGATTCATCGAAAACGAATAAACTAGAATTGGTAAAAAAAAGTGCTATTTTTTAAGTTTACAAGGACTCTCTCCAAATGATAATTTTGCCACAGAACAAATAAAGGCGTTGGGAGTTCACTGTATCATAACATTATAATTTCACCTAAGTTCTTTATATCGCCAGACGAATTCCGTTTTCTATGCAGTATGAGAATTCTGTGCTTGGAAAACGTTTGTAATTTTAGCCATAAGTAGATATCGCCTTTCCTGACTTTATTATTTTACTCTATCCAAGGCTCGGCTATATGACTTGTCAGTGGGGGAGCCCTTGGAGGGGAAGGAGTTAAGTCGATAATCGGAATGAAAAATAATCATAATTGCAACACAAGGCGGCAATAATTGAAACTATAAATATTCTGTAAATGAGATCTTGACATATTAAGCCATCTGCGGTATAATCATCAAACCTTAAAATGTTGAAACGAGTTTGATTGAAATATTTATGTAGTGAAAACTGCTTGAACGCGATAAAAACGTACAGCGATGTTTTGGATGAGATTTTCCAATGCACGTTCTTTGTGGTAGATGCTTGTCAACCCATACAAAAGCGTTGATGCTTGGATTCTGTACTTTGATTTGAAGAAGACCATTACTTCTAACTATATGCTGTTGGGAATCAACAGTTTGAAGTCTATTGAGAATCTATATTTCAAGATCTACACTGCAACCGTCTAGCAAAAGCATTATCTTTGAACTACGGATAATTATAAATGCAAACAATTTGAAGACATGAAATCCATCCCGCCTCTCTTGTTTACTCTAGAGATAAGCGTTTAGTTAGACCAGATATCCGCCATCACAAAGTCGCTTGAAGCGAAGGGGGAGAGCGCCGTAAATAGGCTTAAATACTTAAAGTCAACACACACGATGATTCTTGTGTGTATTATACTCGGTGATTTTCATTTTGCATTGAGACAAAGAAAGTAGGCAGGCGTGAAATTGGTTTTAGCAGGTTGCTTGATTAAATCTATTATAAACCACGTTGGCTAAAAATATTTGTACAATATAGTCTAAGCGCGCCACAGTATAAATATCTGTACAAAATTCCCCCTTCCTTTCGACAAACATGCATGCACATGCGTAGTTGTTAATCCATACTCAAAAATAATCTGGATTCTTTCTTTGCAAAGCTTGATCCTTCGTTAATTAATGAAGTGGGAAACGAAGTTACCGAAATATGAGAATTCCAATCATGGTTTAACTCAAAGCCTTCCTCCAAACTAATTCAACGTAGACAATCTTATAAACATATTTAACTAATCTTGTTTAACTTCCTGCTCATTTATCTGCCTTAAAGGAACGTGTATTGCAAAGAACTGATGTACATCTTTGACGCAAATAAACCATATAGTATCTTACAATAATATGTCCATGTAACAGATCTTCCCAAAAGATGATTTGCAAATATAGCCTCGAAAATCTTTGTTCCACTACAGCCCACATACATCTAATCTGTTCTTCCTAACTGTAAATTCAGACTTTACAACTAGACAGTGACTAATGTACACCTTTCATCTTTACCTGTTCATGGTGACCTGGATACTCGTACGTGTGTGCATCTGGACGTATTGAAAGGAAAGAAGGTTACAAAATCATGCATTTACCTTTTGGTATTCGCCTCTGGCTTGGTGCTGTATAGTTTGCGCTTTTGTCACTGACCACTGGTCCTTGTAATTGTACTCTATAATATATAGAAGAAAAAAATCATTGTGTATGGAACTATACCTAGAATTTGCAATATACAACTCCAAGCTTAGATTAACTAAAATACACTTTTGGCTCTACGTTTTCAAACTTCTTTTGCATGACGAGAAATACAAGTAGATTCAGTCTAGCTGCCTTTGCTTTGTGTGCCCCCTCTTTACCTCTCACTCGCTCTGTGAGAATACCTTAGCCGGTTTACTTCTAGTAGGAGTGTAGAAAAATGCCTAATTGCTACCTCAGACTAATCTTCAATTGAAGAAATCTTCAATTATAAAGTATATAATGCATCTAATCAACCTTTAGCGTTGCCTTTGTCTTGGACCACTCCTCTCTTTAAGTATCAAAGCTGATTGTTGATTTATCTCTACTGTAGTATAGCCGTACCGTACTAAAGACTTGATTGCTATCTTTATAGACGATTGATCTTCATTTAAAGTGTATTATGGATCTATTTCTATATCTACCTTTCGTCTTGGCGTGTTTATTCCTCTCGAAACTGATTATGAAACTCGCTATATGAGACCGTGTATTTCGAGTAATATCCGAGGCCTATACACTTGCTTCCTCAAGGCCAGCTATTCTTCAGATTAAACGTATAATCAATCGTTGTCTATACCTGTAGTTTTGTGCCACTCCTGTATCCTTGAAGTCTGCCTCTGAAAAACTGCTTTGCGAAACTGCCCTCCGTTGCTATATGAAGAAATTATAACAATACAATCAGGCTGTGCTTCTTATAAGACTACGATAATACCAAAGATTAAAATGCTAATCTTCAATTATAAAGCACCAAATGTCATACATATCTACCTGAATAGCTAATCTTCGTAGTGAACCACTCCTGTGTGTTCGCTCTTCCTCTATTTCTCTCGAAACTGATGATCAAACTCCGCTCAGTCGCTATATTTGAAAAATCGAAACAATTTTATATGAACCCTTGGAGCTCAAGTAATTACGCTTGCCTCGTAGGTTGCTCCAGCGGCGACCCAATAATATATATTAATGATTTATTTTCACGCTATTGTCTTGTTAGAGGCCCAATAAGCTGCATAGCATGAGTCTTTTCCTCAATTTACACTCAAAACACTAGGCCAGCCCTTACTCAAGAACGCCTCCTGGTGGGATCAAGTTGGAACCCTAGGGTACACCATGTGATTAAGTATTGTTTTATTTCCCTAACCCTTGCAACGACACTCACTGTAACCTCCCCTAAAGCTATCCATGATCCAGATTTTAAAAAATGTACTTACAAATTACACTTGGTGGGAAAATATTCAGCATAATTTTATAATTTGTAAGTAGAAGAATACACAGTGTATAGTTTCGTTGATTTTTACACAAATTTGAATATCCTCAATACAGTGTCGTAATATCTTAGATTTGTAGCAAGTATAGAAAAAAAAACTACATACCAGGAATATCTGATAATTGAGTGCCCGATATATTAAAAATATAAATACTATTTTGACTCGTACACGCTTCTTATCATCAAACCAGGGAGATACTAACAATATATTAAACGCTTATATGGTATATACATGTATTTTGCACTAACAGTGTTTATACGATATTACTTGTGTTATACAAATAGCACTCCATATTAAGTAGTTGCACAATCATCCTATCAAATAAACTATATACGTGGCAAATAAAAGTCTGTACTAAAAGTCTGTTTAATGGAACTTCTGATTGTATCAATCATAGATATATTAATTGAGACATTGGTATAGCACACAGCATTTTATAATCGGATCTTAAATTATGTATTCCCACCTGTAAATGGTGATGAAATTTTATAACGATGACGTCGTATGCCCTCACTAAATATCACATCACCTTAAAACAGTATAAGGCCATTGAAAACCGTTAAACTATGATCAATATTTGAGCGACGGTCTATGAGAAACCAGAAGGTCATCAATTTGTGATCAGGATATTTTATGATTGTAACATTTTTATTGGTTATTGGGATATCAGTCATAAACAGTATTAAGAGAGTAATCATACTGTAAGAAACAGATCATGATATGTAAGGTCTCAAGGGTCATAAATCTAAGATCAATTAGTTATTTTTTAATTGTTTACCCCGCAGGAAAACCACAAAATTTAGTGAGGTGAGGTAGAGAGGTATTTCGGTCTTTCTTAATCCTTAGCCAAATAGCCTGAGTGATGTTTTGCGGATTTCTCTCCACAATCCATCGTGTAAACAGACGTATGTCGGCAATTTGTTTTCTTAAATAACAATTGCCTTTGCTCTTTGCCTTTGTAAACGCATGCAAGAACATGCTAGAATTTGGGGCTTTCACTGAACATTATAGGACAGCAGATGATGTTGACAAGAGCAAGAAAGTTCAACTAAACCGATTTACACGGAATTATAAGAATTAACATTATTTTCTCACTTTGAGAACCAGCAGCTTGACCACCATCTGCTGTAGGATAATGCTTTAAAGTGAAAGCCAACTAAAGCTACGTTTCCACTATACCAGATAGCTTTCCGTAGTGGCGCGAAAAAGCACCTATCCAACACGGAATGTACAACTTTCAGAAGCTGAGTGAAACAACATCTCTCCGTTGCAATAATTCCTCTGAAAATATCGTTCCTAAAAGGTACCGATAGATGTTTTTCACGTCGCTACGGAAAGCTATCTACCACAGTGTAAACGTGGCCTCTGTGAGGTTTCCTACGGATCAGACTTTGAAAACTTGAACTCAAGAATCGTGTTGAATTATAAGTTTGATTTATATCTTTAATTAATTGTCTCGTCTTATTGAAACTCGAGATTAGGATCATAATTCGAAGACAATAAATAGATTAGACTAGAATATAATAATAGCATTCATGTTTCTAAACACGCGCAGTATAGACAAAGAGTATCTAAGTTATTTTGTTTTCCTAATTGCAATGTAATGTTGCATTTTACTTTACTAATTTGATATAATGACTAATTAGCCACAATTGCCCGCCCTATATTTTTGCGTTTTAGCCGCGACGGAATGCCCACGCAGCCGGTCACGTTGGATTTAGGAACCTGGTAACGAAACCGGCAATGAGTTAGCCACTGATCTAAAAATACCTGGATAGTGCAACGTTTCAAATATTGCAATATTGCAAATAGTGCAACGTTTCAAATATTGCAGCGTTTCTAATAGTGCAACGTTTCAACTATTTCACAATAATGACCCCCTCTGCTACTGGCGTTTAGCCATTAGGTTTTCAAAATTTCCCTTACTTTTATATAATATCCTCTTCCTGAACAATCACTCAAGCACCCTCACAGTTGCTTAGCAAAGCTGGTTATGCCTATACTTGCCAACATAATTACAATTGAATTTGAAAATATTATGTTTAATATCAACTGTCAAATAAGTATCCAGTCAAATGTGACCTACCCTAGGGTACATTACATCCCACAAGCGTGTTAATGATTAAGATCTACTTGTTTGCTTGTGTATCTCCACTTCTAATAAGCTCAAGTACCCTCACAGTCGCTTAGCTAAACGGGATGGTCTTGTGCTTAATCTCAAGTAAACTGCCATTAAATTATCCAGTCATATGTGACCCACTCTAAACATCTTTGGGGACACAGGAAATCATTACCGATGTCATTAGTCGCTAATTTTTGCTTCTTTGTCCTAAAAATGATCAATTAGAACAACGGATCTTTTTAAGAAATATGTCAGAGGAAGCTCCAAAGGTTGTCAAAATTCTTGTCAGCTCTTCAGAGGTGATTAATTGCTACTATTTTAGTGTTTCTCCTGTACGCGGAAGATACTCTTAGTATGACTCATGTCCAGGTCTCAGCGCATATATTTCTGAATACTTTGTCCGAAACGAGAAGCTTGAGTGTTCATGCAATCAATGTGAGCTTTAATAAAGGAGCTTTATGTATAACTGAAATGTAATAATTGTTTAAGTAATATACGTATAAAGGACATTATATATTTGTGTTTAATTTCATTGCGAAATATCCTCATGTGCTTAATTCCGCAAATTTCCTGAGGTTCTTCTAGCCCATTCACCTTCTCCTTCCAGATAAATTGCAAGAAATTAAGACAACTCACCCCTTCAGGCAGATCTGATGAGAAACAGGCACCCATCCTCCCTGTACTCGTATTTAAAATACTAAAGACCACTTGACATGTTTTCTGTCAATGAAATATAAAGGCACTCATCTATTTCCATACACTGTTCACTTGCATTCGTACTTAAAGTATTAAAACAGTTCGCCTGAAAGTGCTCTGGTTAAATATTAACTAATATTCACAGCACTTCCCCTTCAGAGAAATAAAAAAATATCGAGGGAAGTCAGAGAACACCCCCACCCCTACCCACTTCACCCTTCAGGCCAATATCATGAAGTAGACGCACTCATGCATCTTCCTGTAATCACGAGTTTTGATTTCTTCCTGTCGTCGTGAAATATTAAAAAAACCGTCTGACATTTTCATTATCATTGGTTTAATATTGACCACACTTGATAAATATATTTGGTTAGCAATATTTGCTTGCCACAAACTCCTAGTGGGGTAAAACACACGGCATTGAATGAATCGGTATGTTCATTATCAGACATTTTATTATAACTCAATCAGTGTTTGTCTCTCCCTGCAAAGTCAAGTCGTCAAAAGTCTAAAACATGATCATGTAGAGATGCACGAGTCACTGTAAGCATGATCTGTTTTTTATAGCTCAGAAATGTAATTTGTACAACAATTTTACAAACGCTTATACACGAATCCAAATTAAACTAAACTAACTATTTGAGTTCAAAACTGTTAGTAAGGGCCATCTGCTGTTGGTCTAGTATTACTGCTGAGTTTTCGAAGGGAACATAAAATTTATTTTGGAATTTACGCCCTGTACAGTATAGTCTATAGATTGCAAGTAATCAGATATCGTGTTTTTGGCCACTTCTAAGATTTGGACTCCTGGCGCGACCCTTTTCTTTCTAGATAAAACGCTCCACCCATATTACTACAAGTTGTAATTAAGATATATAATATATCTTTAAAAAGCCATCAGTCCAGACCATTTGTTGTTGCCAAAGAAAGCAAGGAAGACCATTTTGCCACTTTTGAGATTTGATTTCCTGCTGTATGTTTCTATTTTATTGTATCTTTCGATCAAATTGACACGAGTTGTAATTAAATCATGTATTTTTATCTCTTTAAAAACTTCAGGCAATAATTTTTACTGTGATAGAAGATCGTTTGACCACTTGTGAGATTTGACCTCCTGCTATCTCTTGTTTTTTTTGACCGAACGCTCCACTCGTTATATTGTTCTAGGTTGTAATTAGTTGATAGGTTATACTTTAAAAAACTATGTGCAGAAAAAAATATTAAAAAAAGGGACCACGGTCAAATTTGACCACTTCTAAGATTTGAACTCCTGGCTAGATTGTTCGATTTCTAGATTGATAGCTCCACCCAAGTTGTAAAAAATTATAATTAAATAATAAGGATTTCTTAATCTGTCCGTTCATTTATAATTTATATCTGTTTATCGATCCATCTTAATTGCGTATCTTATCTAGTAGACAAATGAAAGGTAAACCTCATTATCAATGTGAAATGGATGAAGCAGAAAAATAGCTTCTCATGTGATATAATATGCATCTGGTCCTGACGAAATCGTGTAAGATTCAAATCTTCATGTACAAAATGAGCATGTGTATTCTGCAAAAAAA